TAGAGAATTGTCTAACCTATAACATATCAAAATTTGGAAGAAAATCAATCATCATTTACAGAGATACAATCAATTTTCCAAAAATATGCTGACGTCATAATATGCAAATTGAAATTTTGAGTTCGGAGGCCATTATGATAATGTCATGAGTTAATTGAGGGTCAAATGAGACATGAAATCATATCTCCGATTCATACTCTATCAAAATATGAAAAAAAACTTGGGTTCACCTTGCATCCTAAAGCGCTACAATGGATTTTGTATAGGCATGTATGCTATGTATTACAAGAACTCGCACGCACGGACATTATCTTAAACGGACGCTCATTCCGTTATTAATGGGCAGAAAAAGGTGAACAAGGTATCAAAATGCTTGGAAAAATGTGTCAAATATGATGACAGAAAAAATTGGCGATTCTATGCTGCGAAATGCTATTTTGCGCGGAGACGCACGTGCATGCGCGTTTGCACGTTTTTTTGCGAAATGCTTTAAATGGCCTGGAACGTATGCAAAATGAATTTCAGACGATTTCAAGCATTCGGACGTACGCATGCGCGCGCGTTTTTTTGACCTGAAATTGACCGAACGGATATTGATCTTAATCATGATAAATATGAATAAGAAATTACTTTCCGTTATGAAGATATGATCATGAGTTGAAAGTACCAAAGAAAACACAAAATGGCGCCTAGATAACATCATGAAGACTTGATGACCTTGAAAATGTTCCTGTCACGTCTCATGACAATGACCTATGACTGCCAAAATTGAAAGAAATTGACTAAACTGATCTTGAGTTATCCTCGCAACAAAAAAGTGTGGAGAAATAAAAATAAATAATAATAATAATAAGAAGAAAGAAAATTCTGACAAAAACAATAGGTTGTCTGTCGTTGACAGACCACCTAATAATTGCTTTGAATGCTTTCGACTTTGATTCTCATAATTTGAAATATTCATTTTGTTTTAGTTTTTGCCTCCTGCTTAAGTTTGTTTATTTTTTCTCTATCTATACATCTCTTAAAACCCTATTTTGATATGAGGTTGCTGTATCAATAAAATATTTATTGAATTTTGCACGCATATTTGATTTGTTTTGTTTGCAATGGAAAGAGCTAAATGATTGACAGAGATAAGAACACAACCATAATTCATCACAATCATCTCTCTCTCTTTCTTTCTATTTATCTATCTATGTCGGTCTCTGTCTCCCTCCTCCCCCTCCCTCTCCCTCTCTGAATACGTCAGGAATTTCGTGAAATTGGGATTGTGCTTCAGTGTTTTTTTTTTCAGCATCGCGTGGTTATTGTGCGTTTTTTTTTTAAAGGGTGTGGCTAATACGGAGTTAATCGCTGTAGTCTTCTATTTATTCGAAAATAAATGATATTGAAAATATAGTAATTCATTATATGTTACGTAACAATAAAAAAAGACCTGCAAACAAAAACACAACAGTTGAGGTGGACAATGATGAGAAACATAGGCATACTAAAACAATACCAATATGTATAAAACAAGTAACCGCGATTCGGGGGCAAGGAAAAAAATGATAGCAATCAATAATAAAAAGCTAGTCGTACCACCACCCCCCCTTTCCGGCCGTGACAAGAAATCGATAATGGTAATATATCATGTTAATAGAACACATATGAAAAAAAACAAGGCGAAACATTTTAAAATCTGTATGGGCCTTTTATTTTTGGCAATGGGGGGGGGGATCATGATTATTCAGATAGAACTGCCATCTGAAAAAAGCCGTTGTGTGCCGTATCATATTACCATCTCATCACTATTGCCTAAATATATTTTATGGAATAAAATGACACACAAATCCCATTTATCAGGATAACCATTGAACAGCTAGACTGGTTTTGGTTATCCCTCGTGAGAATTCAATTTATTTGTCTTCGTCTCCATCTGTGTTCTCGTTCAACCTATCATGTCAATAAAACTTTGTTAATCCTCGTTTCATGATCAGTGCTGTAGATGACATGCACATGTATACATGAAATGATGATGATGATAATGATGATGCTTACATAAAAATTATTTTCTTCATCTTGCACTCGCTTTTCTTCATTGCCAGAAAACTTGTTTTTATGTTGCCTTCCATTTTTTTCAACAATGGCCCAGGAAAAGTCTCATATTCGTGGCTATACCGCCGGAGATACTCAAGACAAGAGTGATATTCTGTGGGGAGAGAGAGGAAGAGTAAGGGATCGTTTTTCATAACATAACAATGGAACATTTCATATGCCCGCTCAAACCAAGACCGGCTTTAGGTTAATCAAGATATTTTACTCAAACCTGCTTTAAAATGGTTACATGCCCTATCTAAGTTAGAGTGGTTGTTTGTATTGTCATGTAGATTGACCTACGTTTAGGCCTACATCCTCTTCTTTCAAAACGGTAATCTTCCAGAGTAGTTACTTCTTTACATTCGTTTGTTCCTCTTAGGGTGGGGTCCGGTCCAGGCAGCTGAGATAAGCGTTTCATAAAAGAGGAGGTCCATACATGAATGATTCACTAAATTGGTCAAGTTGATAACATGAAAAGCGTATTGTCAAAGTTCCGGCACTGGTAATTATAGGGAAGAATAAGTACCAAGTCCTTTTATCAATGCATATTTTATACTTACACAGTTGAGAGTAAGGTCGGTTATTTGAAGCGTATCGCAAATTTTATTTAAAAGGAATAGTCCTAGGTCTTTATGAATAGGCCTACTATAGGCCTAATAATATTATTATATGAATAACTACAAAACATCTATGGAAATGTGAGGAAAACAACGCCCTCTCATATTGCCCAGCAAAAATCATCCAATCACCGATGGAAAATCGCCATGTAATCATCTTCATCAACAAAACCAACAATCAAAAGCCTTGAATCAAGGCAAGAATATAGAACGGATGCGCGATACGTGTCCTTCTCTAGCTGTACAGGTATTTCGAGGGCCTTTTTTCGATCCGAACACTAACTTAGGGTAAAGTTGAAAAGATATCACCCTTTTCTCGATTTTTTTCCACGTAACTTTATTATTCTTTTAATAGATGAGATGAATGGATATATCTAAATGATACTTCAAAGTACTTTAGCACATAAAAGCTAATAATAAGCTGGAAAACTTTGTCAAAATACTAGGGATATATCCCGGCTTCTGTAGAAGCCTGTCGTCACAGACTAACAACTCGCTCGGCTTCTGTAGAAGCCCGTCGTCTCCAAAGTGTTAAGGCAGCATGTGGTCTCAGCCGGCTAAGCTGGTACAAGGAGTTTGTGTTTAGGTCTCCAGACATTCTGGCTTTCTTTGAGCCCAATTTTGTTTTCACCAGATCTCATTCCCCTTGAGACATCAGATGTCAGTCATCAATGAGCTAACTTAAGAAAGTGGTATGTATCTTTGCCGAAGTTGACCACCTGTAATAATACATGATACAATAGCAACATACAAGTTGCTATGTCAGACATGCTGTAACATCACCAGGAAGACAAAAGGCAATGATGATGTATTGTACATATGTATGGAAGCATGCAATTCTTTTATGAACATGTGCTAAGCTGGGGGAAATTACATACGATTGTCTATTCTAGAATATTAGTTTAGTCTGACATGTCTGACATAGCAACTTAAATGCTGATATTGTGTGTGGTATTGTAACAGGTAGTCAACTTTGGCAAAGTTACATGCCACTTTCTCAAGTTAGCTCAAAAAATATTTTAAAAAATCTATGAAACAAATTCAGAAGTTTACATATCAAAATATGAGATGTATGCAGGACTGCACACCAACAGGAATACACTTGTATTTCGATGTCATGGGCCCTTTAAAGCTAATCTTGAGCTCTGGTATGGATTTGTATGTCGAGAGAAAATAGCTATAATTCATTCTGGATTGTTTATCCTGCAGTAGATTGATTGACCAGTAAAATAAAAACAAACTCTCATTGGCACATAGTGGCCTGTTTGAAGCACATGGTGTTGGGCCTTCCTACCTTGATTTCCTTATCTTTGTATGCTAATTTCTCAGCTCCTATACATTTTCTACCAAAATCATTGGACACATGTTATTAATTTGTAATCTTGAACGTTCAGTGCAAGTTTTGTTGGATTCTGTGAGAATTAATTTTCTATCATTACCGGGGGCGGTATTCTGAACATTGTTGTTAGTTTTGTGTTTTCTTTTGTTGTATCTTCCGGAGATAATACAACGCTAATATTGGGGTAAGTTGGTATTCTGAAAATCATTTCATCCCTGTGTTATCTCTTGAAGGACCGCCTCTATCGTATCTTTGACACGCCCATTTTTATGGACCCTACCAATCACGATCTATTTGATATAAGCATGATAAGTAGGTTAACCAATAGGAGTACTTTATGCCACATTTAGAGATGCGCCCAGCGCATACTAATCTTGGGCGTAATTAGTTAAGTGAGTGCTTATTATGCGCGTCATCATATGCCCCGTGGTACGTGGATCATGAAGACAAGTCATGCTTTCACTTAGTAGTTAAGAAACATCACAGAGATGAGCATTAAAATTGTCATATCCTAGCATGTAATTCCTTAGAAAGTTCTCATCTGTGATGTCTCCGGTTAACACATAATCTTCTTCTTACTCCTCTATTGGCACAAATTGGTTCTGGGCAAGGAAGATTGCCAGCATTATATCACCATGAAAGATACAACAACCCTACCTATTGTAAATATTGTTGTAAATACCATGGAAGATAAAAGATATAACAATTTTCAGAATACCAACTATCTTGTCATATTATCTCTCGTGTGCATATGCAAATGAGGATTAAGCACATTTTCATTAATAATATGCTCAATTACAAGCGCACTAAAGTTTGAGCGCAGACGGGGCCGAAGAGATGAGAGATAAGATACGACAAAAGTTACAACAATGTTCAGAATACCAACTTTATCTTATCTTGAAAGATACAACAATATTAGAGATAACACAGGGTTTAGAATACGGCCCCAGAACTCAAGCTTATCTCACAAACAATGCAGGTCAAGATTCTCAAGCTTCATGTTGTCCAGAGTCCGACACTAGCCTCGTCACATCACCTAGTAGAAGCATTATGTTCCATGCCAAACCTGACTGACATGATGCTTGGACTGGATCTCAATGAGCAGTTCTACTCTGCATTGAAAGCAAAAGCATCATCAATACAAGTATGTGTGTACTAATGTAAATGACACGGAGAGGGTCATTGGTAGACAGAAAGAGCAGAAATGGTGATATTGTGCACATGTACATAGCTGCCAACTGTTATGAAAAATTTGGGATTGTTACGAATTTCCCACCCTCGTTACGAAATTACGAATATCCCTTCTATTACGAATTTCAACAATTTGTTGTGTGGTTTGTTTGTTGTATTAAGTGTGTGTGTGTGTGTGTGCCATTTTCAACAGCAACATGCCCATTCTGTCCTGTAAAGTATCCTACAAGCATCTCCCATTGGCAATTTGGGGATGTTAATTGGTTCATTGAACACACACGTCATGACGAAATCATGCATAATATATTCAACCAATGATCCATTAAAACAAATTCTTCCTGTATGTAGTAACTGTAAGAGGCATATATTGATCCTTTTTTTTTTTTGTAATACAATTTTTGTGAGTAAAATACAATTTTGGGGATTAAAGAATACAGTTTTTGAACTCCAGAGGTTGGCAGGTCTGACATAGATGTGCGATTCGCACACATCATATTCAGTTTTGCTTTAAAATGTTACTAATTGCACATTCCAAATGTTGGCAGCTATGCATGCATATACGTTTGTTTTTTCCAAACACAGTGCCATTCACTTGATATATCGCATTAGTAATGAAACATGGAATGAAAGCACACTACATATGTGCTGATTCAGTTGAAATTCAAGGTGTATAAGATTTACATTGTTTTGATTAATAAGCAATATCCAACTATTTCCAAGTTTGTTTGATAGGGAAAATATGTGATTTTTTTTTTTAAGAGCCAATTTTAAAATAGACTTGAATTAACTAAACTCTGTCATAGCAACAAACCTCCTAAATTTAGGGGTCTCGTGCACACAAAATCCAGGGTTAAGAATACCTTTAATACCTTAATACCAAATGCATATTTCTGGTTTTATCAATTTCAGTGTTATTAGGAGTACCGGTAGAACTTATCAATGCAAATAGGTTAGACGCCCTATAAAGAATACATAAAGGATAACAAAAATGCTATAACTAAAATGATCCTTTCCATAGTAACTTTGGTGTGTTCTTTTATAAATAGACAAGAATTGAATTTGAATATAACATCTATTTAATCTTTTTGGGTGAGAATGTTATTATGAATTCAACTATGTGATTAATGGAATTTGTGTGAAATGCAAGAATACAGTGAGAAATTAGTAAATGAATCATAAGCATGTATATATGAGCTACTTGAATATATTCACAAACAATGCAGGTCCAGACTCTCAAGCTACATGTTGTTCAGTGTCCCACACCAGCCTCAGTACATCATCTAGTAGAAGCACTTTGTTCTATGCCCAAACTGACTGACCTGACACTTGGAATAGATCTCAATGAAGAGTTCTACTCTACATTGAAAGCAAAAGCATCGTCATTACAGGTATGTGTGTCCTAGTGTGAATGTCATGGGGGTCATTGATAGACAGGAGTAGTGATGATCATATGGTGCACATGTATATGTTTTTTTTTAAACACCCTTTTTTATAGACCATTCACTTGATTTATCGGAATAGTCGTGAAACATGGAATGAAAGCAAACTACACATGTGCTGATTCAGTTGAAATTCAAGTGTGTATAAGATTGACATTATTTTGATTAAATAAACAGTATCCAACCTTTTCGAAGGCCTGGGAGTCCCCCCCCCCCCCCCTCGACATTTTCGGAGATTGCGCTGCAACCGCTTGGAATTTTGAATTGTCGTTTCATGACCTTTTTTTCCTCGGGTCTTACGCACATTCTGATACCATTTTCGTTGAAATAGGATATACCTGTAAGGTGTTACATAACAATTAGTATGCGCATGTCATCAAAAATATGCTATAATTGCATATATTCATGAACAAGCAGAAATGTGAATACTGGTTTAGATGTATTTCTTCCAAGTGGGAGATATGAATTGATATCAAATTGCTTTTATACGTTTCTCAAAGTAACTTGATGTATTCCAGAACAAAAGAACACATTAGAAATAAAACAATATATATAATAAGAAATAAAAAACAATAAAATACCAAAGAAAATAAATATTTGAAAATTGCATCAAATTTGCATAAATTATCATTATTAATTACATCAAAAAAACCTATTTTGTGTTAGAAAAGAAGTTTCATACGACTAATGAGTTTCAATTAACATTAAAAAAGTGGAGTCTGACAATTTTTGTAATGATTCTAGCTTTCTGTATATTTCCAAATTTGATATTCATGAATGCGTATTCATAATTTATGCAAATTAACCTATGAATTTTCAAATATAAAAATAATGTAACCTCATGAATTTGAGATGAAGGAAACATTTATTCAATACATTTTCAACATTCTTCACATGTCTACAGACAAATATGTAGAGTTTTCTGTAAAATGCATAAAATTAGCATTTTGCATAATTAATTAGGCTATATACACACACATTTGCATATTAGGTCAAAACTAAATATACCATCTTGTTCCTAACGTAAATATCCACAAACATGCAAATTTTCGTGTTCAGACTTTCGACGGCCAAGATCATGGGGGGGGGGGGGGGTGGGGAGGCCTCCCAGGCCCCCCCCCCCCCCCCAGTCATTAGGTGCTCAAAATAGCCCAGTACAGTAAGGATTAAATATTTTGAAGGAGATAATTTGTTTTGTATGCAATGATAAGCATAGCAAAGTTGTTTGTTCTGATGATGAATGAATGAAGTTTACTAAAGTGGTCAATGTCCATAGTAATGCTAGCTGATTAGTGCTACTTTTAGACTTGCAGCAATACACAGAATTCACTATGTTGGGACCTGGTGTTTGAAATATTGTGTATGGTCATGCACGAAGGTGATTCACTCTTTAATTGAATCACTTACCTTGGAGCGGTAGATGTATCCAAAATATGTTGCCTGATATATTGCTTCTTTAATGATCAGATTTAGTTCACTACAAATGAATTTCTCCACTGGAAATGGGTTACCTCGTATCTTGGGCTTTGGGCTTGATGACGTCACAAACTTTTGGCCAATCATAATCGTGGGAGACTGCAGATTTTCTCAGACGATTTTTGAAAGGGGGGCCCCTGGGTATAAAAGGGACAGGAAATTGGAGGGGAAAATACTTATGGACAGGCTGCTCCCATGTCTAGCCTTCAGGCAATTTTACCAGTCAACAGAAAAGTGAGTCAAAAAAAGTTTCTAATGTTTATCTCTTGTGCATCCATGTATAGATGAGCTTTGAAACAATATTCACATAAAATGCAGGTCCAGACTCTCAAGCTTCATGTTATCCGGTGTCTCACACCAGCCTCATCACATCACCTAGCGGAAGCACTGTGTTCTATGCGGAAACTGACTAACCTGACACTGCTTGCAAGGGATATCAATGAGGAGTTCTACTCCACATTGAAAGCAAAGGCATCATCCATACAGGTATATGTGTACTAATCATGGAGAGGGTCATTGAAAGAAAAAAGGGCAGTAATGATTATATGGTGCACATGTTCATACGTTATTTTTTTATTGTAAAATTGGTACAACAAAAAACATCTGCTAGATATATTACTGTATCTAAATTTTTTCATAAACAAGGTTAGATTTCATTATTTATAGCAGCCACATCCTTGAATATGCATGTACGCCTTGGCTAATATTGGAATATATCTCATATACAATTATTTTCATCCATGTTTGGTAGTGTAAAGTATTTTTCTTTTAAACTAAATACCTTGTGTTTCTTTTAAAACCTGATGTAGGCCAAGAGCATTAGGTCAAAATAGGCCTCAACCTGGACATTTTCCATAACAAGCTGATTTTTTCAGGATAGCTCCGGGAATATGTCTAGAATAACATACTAAAAGTCCTCATGAATCCTCCTTGAGCGTTTTCCGCAATCCAAGATGGCGTCCAAAATGGCCGCCATTTCCTAAATTTCTTATAGCTTTGCAACTAGATAACCCAAATACAAAATGTAAATGTCTAAATATATGTTTTCTAGCATAAGGAACTCATTAAAATACATGTTGATAAATTTTGAAACACACAAGTAGCTTTAAACCACTTTAGCCCATCCCGAAATCCAAAATGGCGCCCAAAATTGCCGCCATTTCCTGTATTTCTTATAACTGTGCAACTAGATAACCCAAATACCAAATTTAATTGTCTAAATATATGTTTTTCAGCATAAGGAACTCAACCAAATACTTATTAACACAATTTAAAACACACAAGTAGCAGTAAAACCACTTGAGCCCTTCCCGTAATCTAAATTGGCACCCCAAATGGCCACCATTTCCAATTTTATCTCATTGTATTAAAGTAGATAAGTTATGAATGCAATCAAATGTCTATACTAGAAAAGCACCATTGAAATACATATCCAGAGCTGCCAAGTCTCCCGGATCCTGCGGGAGACTCCCGGATTTTGACCCAATATCCCGTTTTCCCGACCCCATGCAAAAATCTCCCGGATTTCCAGATTTTAAGTTGTATTATTTTCATAAACGACTGTTTCACAAGACTAGCATGTTGAGTTCGTACGTACGTATACAAACACACGGCAATTCTGTAATATGAATTTTCCTGTTATCCAGTCGTCGAATATAAATTTACCGTGATATCGTACTTTATTTAACAGCGTAATAAATGAGAGTTACGCCGAACGACTGGCGGGCTAATCTAACAAACCATTGGGAACATGTGATAATGTGAGTGGTGTTTGTGTGATAGCAATTCGCCTGCTTGCTCTGCCGGGCGGCTTCCTCGCCGGCCCCCGTAGCGTCCCGGTACGTTGGTGCCGGTTTCCGATCGGTCGCGTCAGAGCAGCCAGAAGTTGCACTGATACAACAAGCAGACTTTGTCTGCTGCGATCGGCCCAAAAAACTGCACATTTCAACATCAGTTTTTGGATTGATTTGGGGACTTTTGCGATGTGATTTTTAAGTGGATTATCATTTGATACCAACATGGCAGTGTTACTGCAGAGTGGATTTTGAAGCCGACTTTTTTTTTCTGATCTCCTTTGCCGTTGGGAACGCATCGATATAACTTGCATCTTCCGAAGGCGTAAGTCAACTTTGTCCAAAACAAGGCTGTATTTTGCTCTCTGTTTGAGTATTAAAATATCATCCAGGACAATGTCGAAGTCGAAATATTATCAGAAATATAAAGATGACTACCACTTGGAATGGCCTTGTGTTGGGAAATCTACGAAAGGCGAATACTACGCATTTTGTACAGTTTGCGGCGCAGATATCTCCATCAAGAGTGGGGGAAGAAATGATGTATTTCGCCACATCACATCTGACAAACACAAGCAAACCGCGAAAGCGTGTCATTTTCATCTGTGCAATACTTTGTTGAAAAGTACCCTTGCATTTTGAACAGACAATCAGAGAATGGAGACCTGGACAAGCTTGAGCTGGAATTTGCACAATACCAGGTTGAAGACTTTTCAGGGGAACCAGAGATCCTGAACAAAAACTAGAGAATAGACAAGAAATGGTCTGCAATTTCAAAGATGGAGGATGGCAATGGCTCAAAGAAATACACACTTCTGAGCAAAGTGATGAAATCTTTGCTTGTGATACCACATTCCAATGCTTCATGTGAAAGAGTTTTTAGCATTGTTAGGAAGAACAAAACTGATTTCAGGGGATCAATGAATTTGAAAACACTTCAAGCACTCCTAACAGAGAAAATTGCCAACACAGATGTCCCATGCTACCAAAGGGAGTATAGCAAGGACCTCCTTAGCAAACTCAAGCAAGCAACCTACCAGTCACTTCAAGGAAAACCCTCAAGCACACCCCAGTCCTTGCCTTCCACAAGTACATCCCCCATTTCACAATAGAGGTAACAGGAGTTCATAGTCTGAAATATGATGTGAAGTTCATATGTTATCAATTGTATGCAAATAAAATGTGCCATATCAAAGCCTTCCATTTTGAGAAATCATTGAAAAAATGTGTTCTAAAAGGGTTTCAAAGAGGCTTAAAACCAAGAGCTTTTGGGGGCCTGCCCCCTGCCCCCCCCCCCCCACCAGGGGCACTAAAAGGCCATTCTTGGTTCCCGCCAACAATGAAGTCGTTCGATGCTGCTCTCTCAGAAATCTCCCTGATTACCCAAATCAAATGTTGGCAGCTCTGCATATCAGTACAAATAAACCTTTCAATAAATAACTAAATACTTCTTATACATAAAGTATACACACACCCACCCACATACACACACACACATATGCACACATATGGCTGCTTCCATCATCCTCAACAACATCAGACTGACAGTGTGCAACCGTGAAGAGTACTCAACGTCAGATGCCCGGGTTAGATGGAACTGAAAATGGAGACACATTAGTACCAATGTCGCAAAGGCAAAAGTCACACGGTTTCAAACAGGAAATGCACCTCAATAGCACATGCCGTATCATCACTGCTAGTAGACCAGGTCATTTCTGTCGCCAATATTGTTGGAATAGCTGTGTATAAACACCGGAAGTGTGGCTCACGTGAACAGATAGACATCTTGAGCAACATGTCCTTCATGGAGTGGTTTCATGAAAGTGGCCATGCAGAGTGACTAGTACGAGAATTGAAACTCTGCCCTTCATAAATTTAGACCCCTTTTATCTGAGTACCATCTACACGGCACTATACTTTGCACATTCACAATGTGAAAAACATAACTTAAGAATATGTGCAGAAACATTTAACCAGCCCTCGTACATCAAGGCAGCAGAGATTGTAGCTTCTTCTCAGGACCTAGGAAAATTAATTGTCCGTCTTGGTGGATTTCACCTCCTCATGTCATATCTTGGCAGCATATAGGCCACGTCATGGGCGGAAGTGTGCTTGCAGAGCTATGGGAGACAGTGTACGCCAAAGGGTCTGTCATACATATGCAATCTGGTCATGCATTTTCCCCTTCTCTTCGTGCTCACATTTTTACTTCAGCTGCCCTCATTGGCCTGTTGATGGGTAAACCTGGCATCTTAGACAGCATAGATGAGGACCATTTAGCAAATATGTATGGTGCACTCCTCAACCAGGACACGAAGGTGACTGATGTACCTGAGAAGGAGTGTGTCAAACAGTTAAAGTCAGATCATTTCACAACTCATTGCCGGGCAGCAGGACAAAGTAGGATAGGATAACTTTGGTTGCAGTATATCCGACAATTATGTGTCTCTTCTGCAATGTTTCATTCCAGCTGAAAGGACAGGGGACCATCTCAGCTGTGTGAGGGAAATGATACAAAATTTCCATGCTGCAGGCTGGACATCTTCCCTATGTCAAATCTGCCAGGTTATATTTACAACAGATGGAAGCTCTAGAGCAAACCATGCCAGGAAATGAATATACACAAGTCACAGAAAAGTGATAATTCACCATCCGCCATGTGGATTCATTCTGGGGTGGAAACTCCTCTGATCAGACCATTGAAAAGTTCCTGATGCGGCAGCTGAAAACATCTAGCAAAATGACTCGTGGACGTGGAATCACAGACAGTACATTGGCTAAGTGGGTTAATGCACTTCCTCGCTGTGTTCATACCTGTGATGAACTGGAACAGTTCACCGGAGTACACACTGGTACATCAGAGCAGCATAAAGACATACAGCAAAGTACCAGGTCAAGAGACAATAAAGATAGATGTATCTTTGTTTGATGGTTGCAGGCACATCATCATTTGCTGGATTTGATACTAATTGCCTGGTCTTCTTGTCAACTGGCATCGTCTCTGGCTCATCTGCTAATTGTCATTAACCTGTACGAATCGGCCTAGTAGCGGCATCCGAAACAAATGCATGGAAGGAAGTTTACAGATATCAAGCTACGTACATCGTAAGGACAAGGTAAAGACCATTGATGCCAAGAGTAAGAGAGAGAAAATCAGGGGACAAAGCACATATTAAAAAGTCAACCCAACACTACTGTTCAACAGAATCACACGTTTCCTGAATAACAACACTGAGATGGATTAGTTCTTTGCACACAGGCACTTTCCCTTTCAGAGGTGGGGTGATGCGAAAGCCAACAAAGAGTTCTCTAGGTCTCCTGCTGAATTCGTTCACCAAGCAATCCAACCTGCCAGAAATGGTCTCTTTGTTTAAGATGGTGGTCGCTTGCTGCAATCAGTTGTTTGGCCACAACTGTCAACCTATGCAGGAGGCGAGTTGACTCAGTCGGTAAAGCGTCCGTCTGTCGAACCAAAGATCCCGGGTTCGACTCCCACCCAGGCGGATGACTGAAGCCTGCATTGTGTCTTAAGGTGCCCCTTCCCTTGTTCATAGACGCAGGTTATGTCATTAGAAATCGCCTGATGTGTCTTTATGCTGTGACAGGGTGTAATACGGTTTCGGCAATATGGTCCACAAGAAAATTGACTATGACTTGCTTGATACATTCGCAGTGGAAGCACCATGACGAGGT